AGCCAAGGATTTGCCAGAGACTGCAAGTGTAGCTTCGTAAAACTAGTTCTGGTGCATCGAGGCCCTTTTGCAATATCCTGCAACCTGGGGGGTGGGGGCCTGGCGGCGAGGACTTTCCCGTTGCCACATTCATCGTTTTGGTGAGTGGGTGATAACAGGACTGGAAGTGAAAGTGACATGTTTCTGATCTCTCTGAGCAAACCTTGGGGAAGCCGTAATGGAGCATGGCTTTTTTTTCTCAGTCGAGGCACGGGCGCGTGTGATGCTACCTACGCGCTATGGCACACGCGCGCAAACGCTTGCTCAATCGCATACGTGCACGATTGCGCGCGCGTTTTCTTAGGATGCTTGGCGGGAGGAGTGGCCGCTCGAAGGCCGAAGGGCCACTGTGGAGCAGCAGCTTGGCCACATAGCGCGGGCTTGCAACTGATTCTGGAAGACACAAGAGTGCGGGGCAAGGATTGGTGGGACAGGTGTGGGGGAGTAATCGAATGGCTCTAGAGCTGGTTCCCCCGAAGCTGGCTCAGGCTGATGACTTGCTTGCAGTGGCCACTGGCCACGGTCGTGGCCCGGGCCCCCAACCCGTGGCTACTTGAAGCGCCGGCAGGGTGGAGGGCAGAGCTGCTCTTCCTTCGGGGGCGCGTGCGGCAGCCTCAGGAGTTGTTCGCATGGTTGGCCAGCCTGCCGCTGCCGCTGCCGGATGCCTTCCCGCGCGAGCTGTGGCGCTTGCAGCCACCTGCCCGAAAAAATAGTTGGCCGAGCGGTGGCTAGAGCTTGTAGTGCTTGTATGGGCGGGAGCTTGCGCGCCTGCTTTTTGACAAAACAGCTGTTGCCAAGATGAGGTGGACCTGCCCCCTGGGCTGGAGCTCCGAGCTGACACAGGAGTCAGCCACGCTGGTGGACATGTCCCCCTACCGCCGCAACTGCAGGCTGACCGAAGTCTTTGAGGAAGAAGGCTTCAAAGAGTTACTTGCCAGCACTGGGCGATCTCCTGTCTTATGTCTTGCGGGCAAACCCTTTCCACACAGCGAATTCGGCTTGTGAGAGGTTGTGGGAGGTGCCGGAGAGGTGGTGGGGAGGTGCTGGGGAGGTGCCGGGGAGGTGCCGGGGAGGTGCTGGGCGCACGCTTGCGGGAAGAACAGGACAAAGGTACGGAAACAATTTCCCACTTAAACCCTGCGCGTCCAGAAGCTCTGTGTCTACAGTTTGGTAGCTGTGAGAGCCGGCGAGCCGTATTTGATGGTGCCTTTCAGCCCTAGTTGCAGGGACAGGAGACGGAATCAGAAAGGCAGAGCAGAGCAGAATCACAAGCACGAAGCACGATCCAGCCATGCATCATCCTTCAGAGTCAGCCTCCGTCAAGCGCTATCGGCGCCCAGGTTTCGACAGCTCTTGGCCACCCAGCCGGTGTCCGTCCTGGACACTGAAAAAGCCCTGACCCGTGTGCCGGGCGTCGGGCCCTTCATCGCCAAGCAGCTCGGCTCATTGGGGCGCGGATTTTTTGGGGCAAGGCGGGGGGGCGCGCGAGCGGCTCAGGAACGTCTCCGAAGCAATCCATGAGGCTGGCCTGGCGCTGGACTGGGAGAGCTGGGACGTTGACGGCTGTGGCATGAGCAGCAACACGAACTATGCCGCTCGGATTGCATAGTTGCGGGCAGGCCCTTCCATTTTGTGTCCGCTGAGTATTCCTGCCTCGGCACATCCAAGGTGATGGCGCTCGTTCGTGGCGGGCGTGAGGGCTCCCGGTACGTGAAGGCCAACGACAAGGCCCTCGTGGAGGTGAGCCAGATATTTCGGCGCCTGTGGCCAAAGGCGCTGGTCGTGAACGGGGTGAGCTTCACCACGCCTGCTGCGTGCCGCGTCTGGTTCAAACCCAGGTGTGCGAAACGCTGAAGCTCGTCAGATGCGACGCCTGTCCAGACATGTGGGCGGGCCCGCAAATTCAGGGGCGCGTGCTATGCAACCCTTTGCTACCACATTTGGGCGCAAGTCTGTGGGTCCGTGGTGACTGTTTTGTTTGTTTAAAAGTTTGGGGGGGTTTTCCGCCTGACTATATGGGTTTGTATTGTTTGGCGTGTGTCCAGTTTAGTCATGGCAGGAAGTTCGACAAACCCCCGAAACATACCCCCGAAACACACCCCGAAACATACCCCGAAACATACCCCCCGAACTGTCCCCGTTTTCTAGTTTCGCGCAAAACCTAATCCCCAACGATTAGCGGTTTGCGGCTTGCGCGGTGTACGGAGTAGAGTATGCGGTTTGCGGAGTGTGGAATTTGAATTTGGGGGCTGCGTGGGCTGCAGCAGAGGGTTTTGACCAACAACGTGCCAGTTCCGGAACAACAGCTGCAGGCACCGTGCAAGGGTAGACGAGTAAAAGAAGCTTACAAGGAACTTCTGGCAGAGTGTTCCTGCCCAGTTTGGCCATGTTTGGGCTGAGAGTAGTGCACCATGTTTGCTGCCTTTTGGCTGCGACCCTCGTGGCGTTGCACACGTAGTAAGTTTGTCCCGACATGGGCGGGGTTAACTCTCAGGCAAGCGCGCCAACGACATGCTCGATTGATGGCGCTGAACCACATGTGCTTGCTGAAGATATCTGAAGATCAGATAGCGCGGACGGCTGTGGTGGGGCCAACGGCTGCAGACAACCAGATCGTTCGAGAGTGGGCTAGGGAGTTGCGCGGGAGTGGAAGCTAGTGGTTCAAAATCCCAACTATAAGTTGGTCTCCGAAACATACCTGGATCATGCCCGAATCATACCCGAAACATACCCCTGACAGCAACTTGCCACCGATGCCTGTTTCGTTGCCTTTTGCTGCGCAAAGACAGACTCTAGCAGCCAGCGTGCGAAAGTCTTGCCGGCCAAGGCGTTGGTCCAGGAAAGGTCATGTCTGCGGGTCGCGGAGCTGTGGGTTGTTGCCTCAAGATTGCACGTGCTTTGCCATGCCTTGGGCTCCCTTGCCTAGCAGCCTTGCCTCTTTTCCCAGGCAGGGCAGCAGGGAGACATGGCGGTGGCTGCGGCTTGGGTGGAAGCGTGTGCAGGCGAGCTGCGTGTCGGAGATATCGTGCTGCCTTGCTTGGCGCCGGCGCGACCTGCAGGGCCCTGCGAGAAAGGAAATCCCGCTTGTCATCGCAGCGCAGCCTCCGACGCACGTCGGCGGCCACCCTCCTTGTAGCTCAACGGTCCTTGAACACAGCTACAAGCACGGGGTACCAGCGTGGAAAACGCTTAGCGCTGCACTTAGGGGATTTCATGTCATTTTGGGCTTTGGCTCTTTGCCGGCCCGATCTATTCTTTTGCGACGGATGCGGGTAGCGGGCCTGGTTAGGCAGTGGTGCTTGTCCGTTCCCCGCGTGCGTGATTCTGCACTGACTTTGCACGGAGAAGGGAGGAGCCGCAAATGCGGCCGGAGATCTGTCCACGCACTAGCTCACATGTATGAAGCAAAAACCCTCCCAAAACAGCCGCGAAACATACCCTGAAAACATACCTGGAAACATACCCCCGAAACATACCCCCGAAACATACCCCCTCCACAAACTTCCTGGGTTGGTAACGGCCAAAAATACAAACCCATATCCACTTGCTTCCAAGCGTCCCCACGCGCAACATTGCACGGCGCCGTTGCATGTTGTACTCACGAATCATGGTGTCGGACTTGGGAAAGGGATTTCCTGTTGAGCAGGGGTCAGCTCCACTGGCTTGGCAGAATTCGGGTGCCTTGGGCTCTGAGATCCGCCTCACTTTGTTTGCCCCAACTTTGGACCTGTAGGATAAGGTTTCCCTAGCGCCCGCCTTGAAGCTTTTGAAGCAGTGTGAGCAAGATTTGACCTTGCCTTGCGACTGTCGGGGCGTGAGCATTGTGCTACTGCCGGCCATTGCAAGGAGACAGTTTCCTGCCAGCGCACAGGGTCAGCTCCCAAACAGTTACAGCGCTTTGTTTGGGCATCTCTTCTGATCTTTTGACCTGCTAGAATGACCTTCTCGTCACAGGCCAGGACAAACCTTTTTTGGGTCGGCTCCAAAACCCCGACCCATGCGCGGTTGGATCCAAGGTAAAGCAGTGCTGCGCGCGCAATCTGCGCAGAGTGCCGCGGCCGGACGTGTGGCACTTCGACCCGTGAGACAATCGCGCCGCTGCGGGCGGACGTTTGGCACTTTGATCCGTGAGACAATCACGCTGCTGCGATCCTGCAAAAAAAGGGCGCGCGCCCTACAGGCCTGAAACCCTAAAACGGGTGTAGAAATTTAAATTTTTACTGGTGCCCCAACGTCGGTCAAGTCTAAGACATGCACTAGCAGCTGGCCTGCGGATGGGCACGTAATTGACCTACATCCTAAACTTTAAACCCCAAACCTGGACTGAACCGTACTAATCCTAAACCCGAAACCTACACACCCGAAACCTAAACCCTAAACCTACGCCCTAAACCTAGACCCTAAACGTACACCCGAAACCTGCATGATATACCCCCCGCGATTGCGGGGTTCCTTTCAAGTCCACGCGCAACAAAGAACCACAACAGCTTGAAACGGGGGTAAACCATGCCTCCGGGCCTTGTTGTCCCGTATCGCTCGTAGTTAAAGCGGGCAACCCTGCGGTAGGTTCAGTCTCTGTAGATACGACGATTCGTGTTCTCCTCAATACGACAGCGCTTTGGGGTCTCTCTTTCAGTCTCTTCTTTGTTTACTCGTGGCGTTTGTGACCAGTTCCTCTCAACGGCGCCGTTGCAGACCATACTCACGCGGGAGCAGAAAGTACAGGGGGTCTGAGCCTGGCCATGTGGAGAGTGACCAACAAGGTCGAGGCCTTCTTAGGACCGTGACCAAAAAGACCAGCTTTTTTGATTTAAGTGGGGCAGGGCGGGCAGTGTGGCGGGTCCGGTGAAAGGGTGGGAGGGTGGTTGGGTGGGGAAGCATCCCACGACAATTGCAAGGAGTCAACGTGGCGCCAAAGACTCGGGGGCGTGTTTGCTGCACAGCCGACCGCGAGTCGCCAGGATGCAGGCTTCTGGCCGCTTTCTGAGCTGGCGCCTGAGTCGGCTACGCGCAAAAATTGAGCAGCGCCCGAAATCCGCATTGGCGATGCTAGCAAGTACTTGTACTACCTGGTTTGTGGTGGTGACGTGTATAAACCTGTTTATCTTTTTTGCTAGAACCAAAAGCAATGGGTTTTGGGCGCTGCTCAATTGAGTAGGACTGAACTACGACCAGTCCAATTGGCTAATTGACCCCTTGGCACATGTGGTGATTCGAGCGGCTAACACATCCCATTGAGTTATTCCATGTTTGAGGGGTGTTGGTTTTCATCTTTTGGCCGTTGCCATGGCAAATGTTGGTGTGAACCTACAGCAGGTTGAAAGACGTTTTGTTCGCCGGGGTTTGGCACAACCCAATCTTTTGGGGGGCTTGCCAAGTCCAAAAGTGTTTAGCTCCGGAGATACAGCCGAGCTATGTTCAAGGTGGGAGATAGATGCCCACGCAAGACTCAGCCCCAACAAAAACTCATTAACGTCCATTTGCTTGAGATTTGTTTCCACTGTTGTTTTAAATGGAATCTATCACTACTAAAAGTGTGTTTTTGCAGGAACTTCAGCCAATGGAAGTAATATTCACTTCTATCAACCCCGCCCCCAACGGTTGTCACCTACTTGCCGGCTTTGAGGGAGTTAGGTACTACGATCCATCCTTTACGGCTTCCTTTTGGGACACAGGTTGATTCCCCAAACTCCTAGACAAAACCAACACCCGAGAAGAGGGGCCACCACTGACTCCCCTTTGCAGTTGTCATCTAAAAACCATCGTATCTAGCGCCCTTTTCGGTTGCCACCTATAAACCTATAAACCAAGGCTTTGCTTCTTTTTGTGCGCGCGGTCACATTAAACTTATTCCCTTTTCAGGGGCAGCCACAACCTTCTCGTCTCGGAGCAGTTCATAACGAAGATGAACGAAGGGGACCTGGGGTTGATCCGTGGGCTTTGGGTTTCTTCTTTCGGATTTCGGCCAGTGTTGGCCATTCTTCAGGTCCAGGGATTGGAAGCCATGGTTTTCGACATCGAGTTTTGGTTGGCTGCAGCTGAGCTTCAGTCAAGTGCCGGTGCTGGGACGGCCGACTCCGGGAAAAACGTTTCAAAGTCATTCAAGAATCGCCCCCCCTCCCCCCAAAGAAAAAGAAGGCGTGTGTTTGTGTCTCAGTCTCGTTTTTGACACCTTGCATACACCCAGATTCCGGCGCCATGAAGCTGGATGTTCATTTGCCCAGTGGAAACGGTTGCTTGATCTCACTCTCACCAGAGAGGACCGTCAGAGAACTACAGGCTGCAGCGCAGCAGCAGTTCCAGCGCCGCTTGAAGCTCACTGCAAAAGGCCGGCAGCTCGATTTGACGGCCACGCTGAGCGAGGCTGGGTTGCGAGATGGGGATGCAGTGGATGTGGTTGTTCAGCTTGGCAAGCTGGCTGCCAGTTTGGGGGTGTTTGCCTGGCATGCCCATGGGGGCGAGGTTGTGACTTGGGGGGATCCACAATATGGTGCGGACAGCAGACAGGTGCAAGAGCAGCTGAAGAACGTCCATCACATCCAAGCAACTCCGGGTGCTTTTGCCGCCGTTCTTGAATCTGGGACTGTTGTGACGTGGGGTCGTCCAGACTATGGTGGAGACAGCAGCCGGGTGCAAGAGCAGCTGAAGAAGGTCAAATGCATCCAAGCAACTAGCCGTGCTTTTGCTGCCATTCTTTGAATCTGGGTATGTTCTGACCTGGGGTGATCCAGGCTTTGGTGGAGACAGCAGCCAGGTGCAAAAGCACCTGAGGAACGTCCAGCGCATCCAAGCAACTCGGTGGGCTTTTGCTGCCATTCTTGAATCTGGAGCTGTTGTGACCTGGGGCAATCCAGGCTGGGGCGGAGACAGCAGCCAGGTGGAAGAGCAGCTGAGGAACGTCCAGGGTATCCAAGCAACTTTTGATGCCTTTGCTGCCATTCTTGAATCTGGGGCCGTTGTGACCTGGGGTATTCCAGCATTTGGCGGAGACAGCAGCCAGGTGCAAGCGCAGCTGAGGAACGTCCAGCACATCCAAGCGACTTCGGGCGCTTTTGCTGCCATTCTTGAATCTGGGGCTGTTGTGACCTGGGGTGATCCAGAAGAAGGCGGAGACAGCAGCCAGGTGCAAGAGCAGCTGAGGAACGTTCAGCGCATCCAAGCAACTCGGCGCTCTTTTGCTGCCATGCTTGAATCTGGGGCTGTTGTGTCCTGGGGTAGTTCAGGCTGCGGCGGGGACAGCAGCCAAGTGCAAGAGCAGCTGAAAAACGTCCAGCAAATCCAAGCAACCTGCGGTGCTTTTGCTGCCATTCTTGAATCCGGGTATGTTGTGACCTGGGGTGATTCGGAACTTGGCGGAGACAGCAGCCAGGTGCAACCGCAGTTGAGGAACGTCCAGCACATTCAAGCATCTGAGGGTGCTTTTGCTACCATTCTTGAATCCGGGCTTGTTGTGTCCTGGGGTGATCCAGAATACGGCGGAGACAGCAGCCAGGTGCATGAGCAGTTGAGGAACGTCCAGCACATCCAATCCACTAGTGGTGATCGTGGTGGTGCTTTTTCTGCCATTCTTGAATCTGGAGCTGTTGTGGCCTGGGGTCATCCAGCATACGGCGGAAACAGCAGCCATGTGCAAGACCAGTTGAGCTTGACTTGAAGCTAGGCAGTTTTGCACGGACGGCCTTGATTTGGAGAAAAGCGTGAAGAAAGAAGGACACATCCGGTAGCCACAGGGCATTTCTGCATTCTCAGGCGCAACCACCAGCGAAGTCGATGCAACAATAGCGCCAAGGAAGACTGCAAACAGCAACCGTTAACCTTGTATTTCTGGTGGGTCCTTTTGGGCAACTGAAAACCATAAGGACACCAGCCACGCGGATTGGCCCATACAGACGAACCCAAGTTGCACGCGTTTGGAAGCTACGAAACCCAAACCAAAATGGGTGTGGCTTCCCTAACAGGAGATCCCATCGGGTCCATGTTCTTCCCAGCGTGTTTTCCTATGTTCAATCGGCCAACAAAGATGCACCTGTATCCAAGAACTGGCTCGGCCTCCAAAGGGGCTCGGGATTGGCATGAAGGGGCCCCAAATGGTCGACAAGTATTCCACGAACCACTTGTGAGGCGGTTCCCAATTTTAAGATTCACCAAAGTGTGAGGAGTTCGACACCCCCAAGAGCTAGATGGGATCATTGCGCTATAGGTATTTCCTTGCGTTAGGGTCCCCTTGTGTACCGGATAAACGGGTGTGTCTTTTTTTTAAAGGACTCCAAGCCCCAAATTGGTGCTTTCCTTAACGGTTTCCCGTCTAAGTGTCTCAAAATCTCGGGGCCCAAAATGGTCGGCTTTTCCTGGTCTTCCTTCAAACCAACCCCAAAAAGGGTCTCACAACAAGAGCTTGGGGACAGGCCACTCAAAAAATCCTCAGAGACCACTCCCTGGCACCCTTCTCCCCCAAAAGGAAGCAAGCGAAACCTCGGCCTCGAGTCGACCCTCGGCCCCCTCGCCCGAGCCAGAGAGGTCTCTTTGCATTTTGCCAAGGGATGCTAGGACTTTAACTTTTGGCTCAGGGATTAGAAACTAAAACCACTTGATGAGAAATAAATGCTATTCTGTCTCTTTAAACCACTAAAAATTAAACTTTCAGCAGGAGAGGAAAGCAACCGAGGTCTCGTGCCCTGACTCTGTGGCTGGCCTTCGACCCCGTGGACGACACCAACTCTGCGGTGACCTTCGTCGCCGGCTCCCACCGCCCGGCCCTCGCGGGCGCTCGTGGGGCCCATAGACGAAGTATCTTCCATTTGCCGAAATGAATATGTTTTTTTTTTTTTTAAGATCCCCTATTGGCTTTAAAGGGAGTCGATCACCATTGGACATGTTGTGATTTTCTGCGAGGAATCAGGACATGTACTCCCCAGATTCTGGGCCATCCAGTATTCAATTCAGGTTTCACTGAGCCAGTTCAAGTGGTGCACCTTTGTTGGTTTTTGGAAACAATCCACAGAAATGACTGTATTGGGGTTGTTCATGCTTTTTCTAGGTAGCTCTGGAGCCAGGTTCGACCATGGCGGTTCAGGAGCAAGGTCTGCTCAGGCCAATCTTAACGCCAATGATTGCCAGCCACCTTCTTGGCCTGCTATGTGTGGATACGGCTGTCATCGCCTCACGCAAGAGTTCATTTGGGGGCGAAACGATTGCAGGTCCTTGCAAGTCCTGTACTTCAGGCTGTGGAAAAAGTGTTTGGAGTTAGTCGAACCATGCAGATGACAGGGGTTCCCTACAAGTCCCCGTTTGTTTGGATCGAAGCACCACCTGGGCCAACTCGAAACCGTCGACATGGATCTCCAGGTTTGGGTCGGCTGCCCTGGCAGCCCACCGCAAGCAGTCGACACTTGCTGACCCAGGCCCGGCTGCGCCGCGAGCGCCGCGATTCCGGAGAAACCGGTCAGAACAGGTCAGTGTGTTGTTTCAACCAATTCAGTAGGCTGCAATCACCATTAGTGCGTTAACCCAGGTTAGTCCTCTTATAACCAGTCTGAACATCCAACGAAATGCCCTTCAGCTTGCTGGGCTGCGGGTAAACCATTTTTGAGGCACCGGGTTTTGGTTTGATTGCGGCTGCTTCACTTTCAGGAAAAGGGGTTCAAATCCCCAAGCCACGAGCACCCACAAAAGGTGTCGCTAGGTAAGCTCTGAGCCTTGCCAGGGTTTTTCGGAGGGTCTTGCGTCTTGTTGTGTGTTGCGGCCGTTAGGCCAAAGCCACGGGAAAACGAACGAGCCAGCTCCGCCCAGAAAGTCGAAAAAGACAACTCGCCATGTCGAAAGCTGTGAGCTCTCTCGTGCTCTTCACGCTTGCGGCTGGGGAGCTCTTCGAACCGGCGACTCCCCACCTGAGGCGGGCGAATGGCTGGGAATAGATTTGTTTGAGTGCCGCTCGCATGGCCCGAAGCTTGGACAGGGAAACCCAAAGGGATGGATTTGTTTGAGCGTAATCAGACCTATTTAGCACCCAGATATGAATCCAATATGCTAACCCATGACCATGTTGGGCCCTTTGTGGTGGGGAAGCCCATTACTCGAGCCATGAGCGATTTGGTTTTGGAGCTCGCAAGGTCCGGATTCAGTGGGTTCGTTCTTATGGGGTCCGTGCCATGGGGTTCATTTGCGGGTTCATGCATCAGCCTTGGAAGATAACATTTCCAGTACCAGTTGAGTGGCTAGATTTCATATTGATTTGCCCACTGATCTTTGCGACCAAGTCGCCCCAAAAGGACTGTTTGGATTCACCAAATGGCTTTTCCAAAACCACCCACACAAAATTGTTTGATCCACTCCTTTTGCTTCGGGGGGCTTGGTGGAATGAGATCCGAACGCCCAGACATCTTCCTGGGTGCCTTTGGAGTTTTAGCACTGGAACATTGCAGGTGAATCAATTCGTCTCGCGGCACATGTTTTCATATGTCTACAACGTGCATTTACGATAATATGGTTCTTAGTCCCCTTGACAATGTGAAATAATTTCCAGAATCGATCAGTAACTGTTGAATAGAAAAATGCCTTAAACTGAAGCTATTTCAAGCCGGGTACAGGGGGGAGTTCAGGCATGGCGTTGCAATGCGAATCGCCCTGATTTGCTTGGTTGCAATAATTCATTTCAATAGGGAGCACCACAGATACGGGCGCTTTAATTTTTTGAGGGCATCCGTTTGGTAGGTTTTGAAGGGACACCAAAGGACAACTCCTCATTTTGGGGGTCCCCCAAAAAGGACACGGCATTATATATATATATATACTCCACCCCCGAGTCCCAAAGTCGTAAGCCATTCAAAGCGTCAGAGCAAGGAGACCAGTCCGGGGTGTGTGTGTGGCTGCTGAGTGGCGATTTTTGGGGTGGAATCCTACTATGATTTTAGACAGATGCGTAAATTACACCCACTCAGGCCTCTCTTCTTTTTGCGTTGGGGGGGGAGCTCAGGTAAATTGTAAAAGGACCTGAGACTCGACTAATTGAACATGGAGACCAACAAAAGGCTTTTCCAAAACGGAGAGGAATCTCTACAAATGGGTCGTGTTGTTTGGCTCCAAGTTATAAACTGCAGGGGAGTATTGACCCACATATTGCATTTTAAGGACTAACGAGCAGAATCTGCAAAAAACAAATGTGTGCAATAAATGGGTCTTTCTCAACATAAGGGGATTTTTCTCTGGGTAGGTCCAGGTAAGTGCTTTTTCTTTGAGCTTGGGGGTATACTGAGCTCACCATGATGAAGGTTCTTTACTTGGGGATCCTTGTTTCAGCTTTGGAACTTACAGTTAAAACCATCCAAGGGGTCCGATTCCTGTTTTGAGACCCAAAAAACAATCTATCCATAACTAGAATTCACAAGACGTTTGTTCCCCTATTCTAAGGCACCCCAAAAAGCCTCAAACCGTGGCTATGGCTCGCATAGCGCCTTTTTCTGAGGGGCTTGAGGCAGGCCCAGGAGGCCTGTCTCTGCGTCTTCGACATCGACCGGACCTTGACGGGCAAGCAGCAGCTGGCGGGCCCCGACTCGGAATGCCCCAACAACCTGGTCACGCAGCGTTTGGGCTACATTTTGTGGGTCCTTTGCCCAGTGCCTTTTTGTTTCTCCTCCTTGGGTAAGAGTTCCCCTTTAAACTCAACCAACAAAAAAGGGTGTTTCTTTTTTTCCCAAATGCCACTGGGCATTTGTGGGTCATGTTGTTGAGAGCACGTGTTTGTCTTCCTACAAACAAAATAAGTGTGTGCCAATCAATTCTGTGACAGAACGCTGTTAAGATGATCAAGTCATGGGGATGTCCTACTGTATTGCAGAATGGGTGATTTTCCACAACCATGTGTATGGTTACCCAGTGGATCCATTCACCATGGGTCACCAAGCCAACCAGCCTGTGGAAGCAAAAAGGCTACTGACTGGATACCGTTCTTTTGGGGCAACTGGGCTTTGCTGGGTCAGGGTGGGATTGGATTGAACCGGGCGGATTCGTTTCAAGTTCGACAGTAAGGGGCCAACATGTAGCGTCAGGTTACGTCAGGTAAGTGGCTACAACCCACCAAAGCCATGCTTGCAAGTCTTAGGATCCTCTGCGTTCTAGCGCTGTACTTCCCGCATTCTTTTCAAGGACCCTTCAAAATATCAGGAGGCAAAAAACAAACCGAGTTGGCCAGCTTGGCATTTGTTCGGCAAGGAGCACTTTTGAGAGGACCTGAAAGGGGTGGACATGGGCACATGACATGGGGATGTGTCCTGAAATTGCTTGGGTTTCACCCTCCCCCCCTTTGGAAGATGGCGAAAACCAATCTCCTTGAGCCAAGGGTCCCCTGTGGCCTGCTTCTCAGGGAATCAAGAGTTTTGGGACTGGACATGAGTTGGAATAACCTCCGGGGAAAAAAAAACAACATCACGTGTGTGTGTGTGTGTGTGTCTTTTTTGGGGGGACCCCCCAATAGTGGTGTTCATGTTGTGTTCCCTCTAAAACCTCCCAAAAAAGGGGTACCCTCAAAAACATGACACACCCACTTAGGGTTTCCCAAAAAGAAATCTCAGCCAGTGCCGTTTTGGCCGGCTGAGCGAAGTTAAATCTGCCATCAGTTTTGTGGGTTTGAGGTTGGCGGGATGACTCCAAAGATGACCGTAAAGGTTCAGAGGGCCACTTTGCGATAGGAAGTCAAGAAAGGAACTACATCCAGAGCTAAGATCTAGATGAACATGGAAATCCTCTCCGTGTCTCATGTCCTACCGTACAAAAATATATTCCTACCACCTTGTTCCTCACCTTTGATTGAAAGGACAGGCTGACAGGCTTGATGGGAAGTGCCGCCCGTTTCCTTCGCTTGACTTGCCCATTCTCTGAGGCAGGAAAGGCTTGATTGCGAGGAGAAAGAACGATGCTTCATGTTCTGCGTTCATGTCATATATATATATATATATATTATGTATATATATATATATGTATATATTGATTATTAGGATTAACATCTAGATTGTGTACATCAAGCAAGTAGTGATGACAGATAAGAGTTCCTTTCTCGACTAATGTTGTCCTTTCTGTTTATATTATGTTCATAACTATATTTGTCTAATTAGTCTATTGCTTATCTCATTATATGTTTCATCATTCATCTCTCTTGGTCTTGGAAATCAGGTCTGGTAAAAGAAATACCAATATACAACATGATATTCACTTCTTTTTATTTGGTCCACCAGGCAAGGGAAAGTGACAAGGGACGTAACAAAAGGGATCGAGAAATCGGAATGCAGGAGGTTTTGTCCCGTCCGTTGGTCAAAGACATGCCAGACACCGTGGGTGTTAGAATGGGCAATAATAAAGTGGAGGTTGAAGTTCAGGGCCTCTATCCCAGGCAAATGAAGGAAGGGGACAGAAACAAACCCAACATTAAAGCAAGGAGTCATATGTGGTTTTGAAGTCAAGTATTTTGGAATTACACCTATGAATCCATATGTGTTTGTTATTGTTATATATATATATATCCTACCGTTTCTGCCCTGTATTTTCTCCATTCGCTCAAATATAGATTCCCAATCATTCTCAACAATAAAACTATCATTAGTGTTAGAAGTGGCTTAGGGGATGTATTCAACATGAAGAAGGAATAGCATTAAGACAACAGGTAACCTTCATCTCTTGAGAGGAGGAGGAATACACATGTGGGTGTGTTTTTCATCCGGGACCCCAACAATGTTTTTTTTTGCCAGTAAATCACTATGGTATCAAGCAAAGGCACGCCGTTGTCTTCGAGGGTTTGAGCTCAGGATCTGGGACACTGCTTATGGCGGTGGCTACCTGACGCTGTCCCATGCTGCGCAGCACTTGAACCAGACCTTCTGCTGCTTGGCTGGCTGTTATAACCCACATGAGCAGCAACCAAGACCAACATTGAACACACAATCCCTACCGGCCCCTTCAGTAGGTAGTTCTACTACGTGGTTTGATGCTTTTATCGCAAGAGTTAAACAATTGAACAAACCTTTACAACCATCTTGGTTGAACCTAGAAAGTCCATCTGGGCAAATTATAACGAGCTACGGCAACACAAGCTTACCCATGAAAGCTTGCGGGTTCCTTGTTTGGGTACCAGAAGTTGGGTTTTGAGCAATCAGTTGGATTTGTGTGTTTTTTTTTCCGTGCCCTATTTGGATCGTTAAACAGGGAAACCGAAAGGAATACCACCCTTTTTGGATTTGTTTAAAAAGGGCCCCATTTGGGTTTTGTACAGGCCAGGAGTGCCTGCTGGGCGTGGTCTCTGCCGGGGATGCCGGGGGTGAGAACTCGCCGCTGCGGAGCTTTCTGCTGAACCAGGCCTGCGATGGCTTTGTTTGTTTTTTGGCGGCGCTTGGGGATCTGGGGTGTGAGAGGGAGG